TGTTCGTTTATGTTCATTTAGGCATGTTCGTTTATGTTCGTTAAGACTGTTCGTTTATGTTCGTTCGTTTACGTTCGTTTAACTTGTTAAAGAACGAACATAAACGAACACGAACACATTGGATTTCTAAACGAACGAACACGAACACAATTATTTTCGTTCGTTTACCGTTCGTGTTCGTTCGTTTGTTCGGTTAAGTTAAACGAACGAACACGAACAAGCCTCCGTTCGTGTTCGTTCGGTTCGTTTACAGCCCTATCCTCATGGTTGAATTTATCAAGTATCATTAAGAAAGTGCTTTTTTTCCTTCCATTCAACTTTTCCTAGTTCTATTTGGTGTTCAACACTAGTTTTGACACTCTTATGAACACAGACAGACGCCATGCCAAATCTTAACAAAATAGTGATTTATGACTTGATTATGTTGGAAGCCTGGCTCTCATGACCAGTCTCTTGCATGGCTAGGATTATATCTCTATTCTTCCACAGATATGCTATTGTCACCCAACCTATTCAGACCCCATGCCACTCCTCAATTGATGCCTTTTAAGATATCCACATGTGTGTCCAAACCATTAACCTGTTCCCCACATGTATACCTCATCATATGCATTCTTGAAATGACCAACACAAAGTACAATTGAAGTATCTAATATTTTATACACAGCAAAACTCTCACACTCCTCAACTTTGGTGAGGTTTGAACCAATGACCTCCAGAGAGGTTACACAAAGTACAATATGTCATCACAACTTACCCTTCAAACCTCTCAACATAGTTTTTTTAAACCCTCCTTCCAATGCAGGTGTCTCATTTCACCAAAAAATCTGCTTAACTTTATACAGTTATTCAGGAACCAAATGCTGATTGCCCCCGAGAACGGGAATGAGGTTATATAATTTCACTCAATGCAAGAAGGGCTATTATCAAACTAAAGCAATAAAACAGATGCATCTTACCGATTCAGAATAACTTAGATCATAAAGATCTTCATCATGAGCCCAGTCATCCATGCTGAACTCGGGATATGGTCTACAACCATTCGCATAAAGCCACTGACCTTTCTCAATTTTCCTACAGTTGGGGCACTGCATCACTCCTTTGACATTAAATGCAGAACCAATGCAATCTGCAACCAACACAAGTAAGAAATAATATGAGTTTTGCTGATTAACACAACAATTTTAGACATCAGTAAAGGTAAACTTGATCATTGAATTGAAACAGAAACATATATACAATCCTCATAGTAGAATAGTAAAACCATGGACAAGGCTTCCACAAGAGCTTGCTGCCTCTTCCAAAAGACAATTCTATAGACCCCTCCTAAATTAGAGATACAATTTGAGTTTTTGAAGTTAGCTTATGCAACACACAGATATAAAGATTGTGGATTCATCTATTCAGAAGTTGCTATATGAATTGCATGAATCATGAATCATATTGGATCTTATATTGACATCTACTTCTTGTTAATGCATAATATGTATATATGTAACACAAAAGTAAACATTCAAGCTGCTTATAAACTAAAATTATACTTGTATTAGCCACGAAAATGTTGTCTTAGCTCATTAGTCGTTGGTTATGACTTCAACAAACACCAACAAAGAAACCTTCTCTTCATGTGGTTAGTGGCTAGTGGCTACATGTGATGTTTTGGATCAAGAGACCCTGCACACAGATTTATAGATACAATTTCATCTGACGCTGCCAGCACGATTTGCCAATATAATGGCAATTGAGACGGGATATTGATAGGCTGACGAGGTAGCCTGATTTACTTCATGAACCGAATGAATCAAATCATAAACTTCAAATTTTGATTGATATGATTTCAAAAACTACAGTAGTTGCAATAGTCGACATATAAATGCTATGTCACTGAAAGGTCTTCTTTGATATGACAGTACGAAGACTAAAGACCTTACTGAGCACGAATGCACCGGACGAGGCTCGCTGAATTGGAAAGGAAATACAAATTCTAAGTATCACGATACTCCAATAGGCCAACTCTGCAATGTTCTAGAAGTAATGAGAGTTTTCTCAAAAAAACTTCTATCAATGGGAAAACTGTACTCTGTTGCACTAAGCAATATTATACCAACTCAAGATATAGTTTTACAACAATTAGGGCGCACTAATCATCAAACACCAACATTGATCAACTTAGCTAAACATTGATAATCCATTGAGATGATCTTAATAAAGAAGAGGAAGCAAACATCCAACCGCAAGAACAACCAACTATACCCCCACCTTCAGGAAAAGAGTTTGTTAGTGTTTAGATTCAATAGAACGTATGTGTTACTCACACGCAAACCCTGACTATGTAATATAATAGATGGGCCTATATAAATACAACAGACCTTATTTGCATGCTTATCTTCTATGCCTCCTGGTCTCAGAGCATAGACGATATCTATTGTGCCCAACTTGCCATAAAGAACATGAACAAGAAACAGGAAGTATGCAAAAACAGAAATCTGATCCTTAAAACAGAAACTCTTTTCTCATGTTTGAATCGTAGAGAGAACCAGCCTGTGGAAGACCCAGCAAATCCCTTTGTTTGAACAGTAGACAAAAAACAAAGACAGTGCATGATACGAGCACAAGACAAAATCAAGCAATCAAAGCAAATTACAGAAAGCACAAGTTAACAGATTATCAAGCGAGTCCATCAAGTGTCACTAATCCCAATTGGCCAAATAGACCAAAGCCATGCACAGGCAAACAAGTAACCTATGTAGAAAAATCAAGTCAAAGAGAGTCACTTGACCAAAAATTCTCAAGCACGAGCTCTTAAAACTTGGCAAACTCAGGATCAACCATCAAAACGACCAGAAGGAGGGAGTTAGACTAACAAGACAAAGCAAACAGAGTGAGTCCATCACAAGTTCCATCAATCATGGAGGTAATCCTCCTCAGCACCAACATAAGCAGATTCCTTGGCACCAAATCAATGCAGCACCTCCTCTAAAAACTCCTACTCCCCTATAAACAGATGTACCTGCACCCCCAACAAGACCACTATCGAGCATGCAAGAAATAAAAGAAAGGTCTTTCCTCATAAACAAGTATAATATGATCACCTTAACATGTCTGTCAATCACATTCTTGGCATTCAAGCAACAAAACAGCCAACAATGCATAAAAAAGGGGAAAAAATGAACATTTTTTTCCAGAAAACCTATTAAGCTTCACAAATTCTTTAAACTATAAGTAATTTACAAGAAAACAACTCAATGTCAGCTAATAATAGAAAGCTCCTTCAACTTAATATCATAACCCCAGTATTTTTCAAAAATAAAAAGCAGTTCCTCAAGTGTATCTGTGTACAAACTACAAACAGCCATCCTGAACTTTCTAAAATAGCCATAAAGTCCTTGAATTTTTTAACAATTTGCAAATCAGACCACGAAGTTATATAGTACCCCCAATCTTCCTGAAATGATACAAAGCCTCAAACTTTCTTCAATTTCAAAATTAAACTTAGAATTTCCATAGTTTCTCAAATATTTTAAACATAAAAATATCATTATGGCACAAAATAACATGGAAAGCCCAAAGAATCACAAAATGATCAAAATATAGTAAGATGATCGATTAATCACTAGCACATGGTGAGAAATATCTCAAAAATAATATCTCCACAAACAGAACAAACCAACAATTCAAAAATTGATGAACAAATGTCTGTAAATCACTGTCTACAGCTGCTTAGGCATTAAGTAGCCCCACTGCTCCAATTAGTTAGGGCTGCTTAATTGGCTTCCAACATTTAAGCACCACTAACCACTTCAATTAGTAACTAATTGTTGAATTAAGCTTCTTTACAATAAAAATTCTTTTTTATTATATTGCTCCAATGACACAATGAAACTAGAAATTTAGAAAAGCAACTGTAACAAACCAAAATTTTACTTCTCACTTTTACATACTTCAAATAATTATACTCTACCTACTTAAATCAACTGTTAATGTTTTTGCATAATCATCCGGTTAATCTCCAGTTAGGTGATCAAGAACAAGATCGCTCAACCGCAGATCTCTGGTCAACGTCTTTTAGAACATTGTAATAAACATTATAAAGGCGAAGAGAAAACAAGAATCATAAACAGAAGAACATGTTGGAACCACTCAAAATCTTCAGAAAGCACAGATGATTCGATATCCATGCTTGACATAAGAAGATTTCATGCCAAAAGTTACTTGAGATGAATGATGAACAATGTTAATAAGAACACGTACAGCATTGAAAAAAGGAAAGCTACTCACAAAAGATAGCTATTACTATATTCATCGTAACAGCAAAATCAATACTAAGCATCAAGAGACTGAAAAGGGTAAAGGCAATGGCAGCATATTTATAAGAGGTCAAACCAATACTAGAAACATTTTACAAAGCTCCAATGACATCAAATCTAGAATAAAGCAAAAGAGATGAGCAGCAAGTGATATAAAACCTAAAACTGAACATTATGTTCCTATCGATGGCAAACCAAAAACCTTTCGGTGTCGGTAACTACATTGGCTTTTGGCTATCAAAGTTTTAGTTGTGATACTATGTTAATGTTTAGAGACAACAGGATGTATATGCAATAAAAACCCTAAATATATAATACAACTGATGGACTCATCTGCCTAATGTATAAACATGATGACTAAACCATAACAGAACCCATATTCTAACCTATTTCTCACAAATCTATCTGCTATGATTGTCAAAAACTTTCATATACCACTTATTATCCTAGAGGACCTATACACATCTCTATTATGGGGAAACCCCATGATCCATTCATAAAAGTAAAATTCTTAGTGTTCTTCGTATACCAGCAACTGCCTATAGGCTATAACATAGGTTAGCTTCTACTGTTATGCCCACATGAAAGTCGGTTTGACATTTTCTGTTTGAAAATGAAAGCCGACTAGTGATACTCGTTTTTATTAGGAATATTGTATTTGTTACCACATTATCACAAGAAAATAAATCCCACGCTTCCATGATTAGCCCTACGTGCATAACATATTAGCTAACTTTACAAAGTATATCCAAGCTTCCCTGGTTAGCTTTACACTTCAGTTCTAAAATTCATTCTATGCCTTCACATGCACCTCGCATCCACTAAATTATATGCTTGAATTTGCATTTCCAGACACATAACTTCACATCAATTGTATCACATTTTCAATCATAAGTTTTCATAGTTCTCACCATACTCTTATTGAAAACTATATGGTAAGCTTCCATATAAAGGCCTCATGCAACAACAGGCATGCTAAAGATTCTCATTATTACCTTACTATAAAGAACCTAGCAAACACATGCACACTCAGTCAAATATCAGTAATGTTGCCATGCTTTAACAAAACAAATTTGACTTGATGTTGTTTGACATGAGCTACAGAAAAGACTACGCTATGCGCAGCTTTATTTCTCCAAAACATATCCTCCACATGGATCAACCTCAAAGGAAGCTGAGAACCTAAGCTACTCACTTTCAAGTTCCGACTATTACCATTAAGCATTTCCTGTAGTAACCACAAAACTTATTGTGATCTCACCCACGCAAAGAAGAATTGATCCCAGAAGATATATAAACATATCCTAGAGAAAATTTGCTGCAGCCAACTTGTAAAAAGATCTTACGTGTAGACCCAATATATGTGCAGACCAAGTGGGCCTGCCTCTAAGTTTAGGTATGTATCGGATACTATCCACCAAAAGATGTGAAGGTTCATATATTGAGACTGCACACAGTACACGTGACACCCCGAATTCAAATAGAAGCACAATGATTTAGTGAAAGCAGCCAGAAAAGCAATAACTGACTACCAAAATGGCATTCACATAGATTACTAACTTAAGAAGGAAATAAATGCTAAAACTACTTTTAGATCGCTGGATGTCCAAGTATTCCATACAAGTAGATCATATCTTCAAAATAACTCCCCTAAACACCTTAAAGTGTTCAATTTCAACATACTATCTGTTAATCTCCAGCCACAAGCAATCAATAACAAAGACGCCCCGATAACTTATGCTACCACTAAAAAGTTTATAGGTAAAGAGATAACTCGCGATTCCCCAGGTTCACATCAAACAAAATACCCAAACGAGTTGAACTGGCATACAGGCAACTAGTTCCTGAACAACAATTTCCAATCACAATCAATTCAATTTACTAATTAATAAAACCAAAAGAAGTTACTGACTGACCCAGATGAAATTGATGACCGCATTGGAGCTTTGCCCACGCACGATCCCCGTTATCGGTGACAACCTCGAGGCAAATCGAGCATGAAACCGAGACAGCAGCTTTGCCTCCTCCGGCAGCATCCCCGTCATCTACAAGATCTGCATCCTCCAACCCCATATATTCTCAAGTACACAAATCCCTAATCCTATTCTATGAGATAATTACAATTATAACTTCCACCACAAGAAAAATCTCCCTCAAATTCCTTACTTGCCCAACAACAACTTCGGAAAATCAAGAATCCCCTTTTACAGGTCTTTCTTTCTTTCTTAAATTAATCATTAAAATACGAAAAAACAGAACCGATTACAGCTCTCAAAGTCTTAGGGTTTCAGAGTTGAAGCAGAAATTTAAGAATCGCAAGTGCCGACGAAAGAGAATGAGAAAAACAAAAGATCATTTCACGATTGTATGAAATGAAACCGAACCTTAGCGCATTTTCTCTTTCCTCCTCTCACCTCTTCGCTTGTTTTACGGCCGTTGGATTTGGTCCGTACCAGATAATTTTACCCATGTTTGTTGTAATAATTTGCTTTGAACGGTCAGGATTCTGCCGATGTGTGACGTAACATAGATTTATAGATGAGATGACACAACACGTTACGTACAACCCCCCCAAGCCCCGGATCCTCCGTATACCTTTTTCTAAATGTTGTAAGAAGACCTTCAAGAATGTCAAAGTGTTTCAATTGGATCCTTCAATGTTTCTTCTTATTTGTATTACCATACAAGAATAACAAAACTACTGTTTTGGTCCTTCAACTTCCATGTTTTTGCAAATTGCAATAACCCTTTTATCTTGCATACTCGACTCTAGATTGATTCTTTAGGGATGGAAAGCGGACCGATATTGAATAAATATTGCATCCTCTCGACCCCAACTTCCGTTTAAGCCCCCGTCCCGACTAGTCCCTTGTGGGTTCTGGGGTAAGGAATCATCGACCAGTTCGGAAACTTGTTAGGTATCTGTTTAATAAAAAATAATTATAAAAAAATAAAAGTTAAAATGAATCATCACTAAATTAGTTACCCATTATTGAAAATCAAATATATATATATATATATATATGGCATGTCATATATATATATAGAAGGTTCATTTGAGAAATGGTAAGTATTTCATAAATAAAAAAGTGATCTTAGCCTTTCATCTGATCAATATTTGCGGCTTTGATTGTGAAGTACTTGATAATTTATTGCATCGGTATGCGGAAGATAGAGAGCTAGTTTCATAACTTTTACAAAAAGACGGCAAACAATTTCATATGTTAATCAGTTAAAATAGTTCATATGTGAATCACACGGTTCACATATGAACATGTAGTTCATATGTGAATCACACGGGTTCCCATATGAACTCGTTTGCTACATATTGGTAAAAGTTATAAAACTACCTTCTCTATTTTCCGTATAGTAGCAAATTTTGAGCAGTTAAAGCTGCAATTTTTGATCAGTTAAATCTGATTTTGACCGTATGAAAGACTAGAATCTTGATTATTCTCGATTTTAATGGCAGATTCTGATGCAAAACTCCAAGATCTCACCGAAAATACCTAATTTCTCATTATTATGTGCATGTGATCGATCGGTTCTCAAATTTTCCGATTTCATATGAAACATATTGTAGATAAAAGAGATTTTTGGAACAAGTCCGTTTGATGATGGTCGTCGTTGGTCCACTTTATGATGGATTGAAAAGCATGTTATAGTCCATTGTAAATCCTAACATCTCGAATCCTCCTTTTTTTGACGATGCTTTCTCGTATCCAATCATCTAAAACATAGCCTTTTCTTAAGTTTTTTGGTTGTATCTAGATGGAATTCGTTACATCTTGGAGCGAACTGGCCAGAGATTTGTCGCTACAACTTCCTTCGTTCCTCAATCGGACGATTCTCACCGCCAGAAACCCTTCGATCATCAATTTCCCCTACCATGAATTCACTGAAATTGAAGACATATCAAACTCCGGCGATTTCTATAAAGAACTAATCACTTACTGATCATTCTGTTTCTCGTCGGACGACCTCCACCGCCTCAAAATTGAAGCTGACGATGAAATCACCACCTGCACCGCTTTTGAAGCCTTCTCGGCGTTCGTCTGAGTTATTAATTTTGATAATTGGATTGTTATTGATTATGATTTAGGATTTTTAATTGATTTTTATTTTTATTTTGAGTTATGATTCTTGATTGTTCTTGATTCAGTTAGGGTTTTTAAGTGGAAAAAATGAAGATTTAAAAAGAAAACGAGGAAAAGATTTAATGACGTGAAATAACATATAGATGGAAAGTATGTTTGATTTAATGAGGTGAAATAAATTATATATGCAAATTGTGTTTGATTTCATGTGGTGAATTTGTGTGTCTTTGTGTTCCATATGGTGAATTATAACACTCGTAATTTTGGAATTCTTATTATGTAAAGTTCTTCATTTAAGGGTAATCAAATTGATGATAAATGAGGATTTTTATATAGAAAACATGTTGGAAAGTCTGGGATTCGAATCGGGCATGAAAAATGGAAAAGAAGAGCGAAAAATGGCCTCCTGAGAATTGATGCATGACCTAGGACACCTCCCAAGTTACGTAAGCCTCTGTTTGAAAGCTTTTGGGTCACAGCGACCTCCCATGCGACCTATTCGCGGTAAGACCTGGACGTGCACAGAAAGGATGAAAAACGGGGTTTCTTTCATTCAGTCATAACTTTCTCATTCCTATTATGTTTGTGGCGATTCTTTTTGCTATGGATTCGTATTTTGAAGATCCTATAGATGGAAACAAAGTGGATCGAAGTTTCAGTGTTTCTATAGGTCAAAAGGGAATCCTATAACCAACAATTTCTTAACCTAGGATTTGGTTTTTGTTACCACAACTCTTATTTCTTCTCTTATGTTGCTTGTGTATGTTTTAGGAGTAAAAAAAGTGTTCTTGAGAAGGTTTTCATCATAGATCTAAAGTCTAACTTGGGGATCTAAAGTCTTCACCAAAGGAAGCTCAAGATTTGAGCTAAAACCTAGATTTAGCCTAAATCTAGCAATGTGAATTCAAGTTACTTTGTGAAAACTATGTACACGTCAAAATGAGTATTTTGAAGTACTAAAGTGTTTCTACTTGATATTTATCAAATGTGTTGATTATTTGAGGAAGTTTGCATATCTAGTAAATTTGGGTTAGTAAATCTTGTGAAATACCTATATTTGGGTTAGTAAATCTTGTGAAATACCTATATTTGGGTTTTTGGATATTTTAATAAACAAATCTCAAGAATGTAAACCTTTGGTGATTTATTGTACAAATGGAGATTTTTGATATAAATGCACTTTGGTGTATTTGGTTTTATAAACCGTTTGGAAAATGCACATTATTATGTTATGGGACATTTTGGGAAAAATGGTATGGTTTAATTGGAAAATGATTTGTCCCAACTGTAGATGTGTTTTTGAGTTAATCATTCCTTTGAAACATGTATTTGCTAGACATTAGTTAAATATGTTTTATTGATTTTGATGACTTTTATTGAATAGTCAATCGTGTTGTTGAGCTTTTGGCTCAGTTTGACTCACATGAGTCTTCGGGACGTTTGTCCAGTTTGTTTTGCTCTATGTTGAACTTTTGGAATTTGTATGTCGTTGTGACATATTTATTGAGAATTACATGTTTCGAGTGTGTTGGTCATTCAATTGATGCCATGTAATTTAGATTATAATGTAATTGATCCATATGCATAGTAGTCGGTTGGAATGGAATAGTATTCCATGTATCGTAGCTAGAGACTATGATCAACGGAGAACTTGCGGTAAAGACTTGGATAGAGTTGAACTTGATGACCGTATAGTCTGTAGTGACTGTCATTTATAGTGAATGAACTTAACTTGGATTTAGATATCCCAAGGTAAAGATTTGGATAGAGTTGTACTTGGTGACTCCCTAAGCAAAAGACTTGGATAGAGTTGAGCTTGTTAACCAATTTGACTAACGACCCGAATAAGGTCGATGTCACTATATGTTTATCTATAAGTGATGCTTATATAACATTAAATTATGACTTACTTATATGTTCCATCACAACAAATGAGAAATCGGGTCTTCCCTATCAACTTATGATGTTGTACACCCTTCTGAGGGTAAAGATGATTTAATTATATAAATGTTTTGATTAAAGCTATATTTTCCGTTTTTAATGATTTATAGCTTTAATCTTGTTTATGTGAGTATTGGGTTTTGGTTGTGTATAAATGAGTATTTTGATTATTGGGTTTTCATCAAAAAAATAGTGGATTTCGGAAAGATGTCGCTCTTATTTGTAATACATTTCATTTGCGAAATTTTGATTTAAATGAACAGTCTTTCAGTTTTGTCGTCATATGAATTATGATGAAAACCACTTGAACTCACTAGGCGTTAAACCTAACATTTTTCTTTTGTCGGCATGTGCATCAGGCTGGTGGGGAAATGGTACTAGCAACACCATGATGAGATGAGTGCTAGATGGTTGCACAAGACGGATTTTAGTTTATCGTTGATGTCTTCAGCATTTGGAGATAGCGACAATTATTGGGTTTTTTAGTAGCACCCGACCTTGATCTAGACTTTTGTAAGCTTGGTTTATCAATTGTTGATGTTGAATCTAGTTTCGTTATTCGAAGTATTTCAGTTACTGAATCATAGAAGATAACTCGACCTTCATACGATGTAATAATAAAAATTTTAAATTAGTCATTCTTTTCAAATTTGAGGGTGTTATAAATTGGTATCAGAGCATAAGTTTGAGGGACTTAGATATTGGTTTTTGCATGTCTAGACTCAAACTAGCGTATTTCCATGTAAATGAAAGTGAGAATGTACGATTCAGTACGTTAAGATAGGATATTTTGAGGTCAATAAATACACTAGTATCAAGAATAATAAGGATGGTAGTAAGGATATGCATGTAAGGTAAATTTATATTTTCACTTGGCAGTGTTAATATGAATTTACAATTACGTGTATGTGCTTGAGTCGCCTTGTTATGATGATCGATGGTGTAGTGAATAACTCTCATTGAGTAACCGTTAGAATAATCAATGTTTGTAGCACTGTCACTTTGAGTAACAGTTAAGTATGGTGAATTACGTTAAACCAACCATTGTGGGTCAGAGACAATGGCTAAGTTTGAAACACAGGCTTGTTGAATCATCATTATTTTGGGAAGAAAATCTAAAGTTAATCCATCTAGTTGTGGATTATTGTCTTAAAATAGTTATGTTTTCCAAGGTCGGTCGTGTGACTAGTAAGCTTGACGAGCATGGTTTTAGGACTTCGAGTCCCGACCAAATGCATGCACGATATCTATTTTGAAATAAACTGCACGAGTTGTCTCATGCTTGTTAAAACATTTGTACCTGTTAGGTTAATAATTTTGAGGAATGTTTTTGTCACACACATGAGTGTAACACATGTTTTGAAAATTTCTTAATT